CCTCGTGCGTCACCCCGGGGACCCGCGCTTCCCCCCCTCCCGTCGACCGCCCCGTCGCCCGTCGAAGCGCCCCCCGTCGCCCGTCGAAGCGCCCCCCGTCGCCCGTCACGGAGCCCGCGGACCTGCGCGTCGCCCCCCGTCGCCCGACGCGGCCCGCGCGACCTGCGCCAGGCCCGCGCGCGGCCCGTACGGGCTGCGCCAGGCCCGCGCGCGGCCCGTACGGGCTGCGCCAGGCCCGCGCGCAGCCCGTACAGCCCGCGCGCGGCCCGTACGGCCTGCGCCAGGCCCGCGCGCGGCCCGTACGGGCTGCGCCAGGCCCGCGCGCGGCCCGGGCAGCCTCCCCCAGGGCCGCGCGCCGTCCCCCGCGCCGTCCCCCGCGCTCCTGCCCCGTGCCACCCGTTTTAGGGTTTGGGGGTGGCGAGTGTGGGGGTGGCGGTTATGGGGGTGCAAGAGTGTGCGCCGTCCCCTGCTCCTCCTCCTCCTCCGTCTCCCACTGCTGCAGCTGCCGCTGAGGGGGGTGGGTGTGTGGGGAGCCGAAGGAGTGGTGCTAGGGGGGTGACGTGGGAGTGGAGTTAGGGGTTGCAGCAGGGGGTGTGTGTCAGGGGTGTGGGACAGTTGGAGGAGGTTGGGTGGAGGCAGCCGTCGTGTCGTCTGCAGCGCCTGTAGTCCGGTGCCGTCGAGCTCTCGGTAGCCCAGTGAGCCTGTTGCGCCAGTCGCCCGTGGGTCCGTTGCTCCTGCCGCTCGTCGTAGCAGCAGAGCCTGTTACTCCTGTAGTCCGGAGCCGTCGTGCTCTCGGTAGCCACTGTGCCAGCCAGGTGCTCCTGGTGCCCGTGTGTCTGCAGCTTCAGTCGTCGCCTCCCATCTTCTCTCCTCTCACAGTCCCTCCTCCTCACCAGCCCTTTGTGATAACCTCTAGCTTTACTTATATTTGTGAACTCCTGCTATGCTTGCTCATTGTGCTGATTACACCCCACTTTGGCTATGGGGGTGTGTCAGAATGTTATTATCTAGCCTGTAGTGGGGTGCTCTATAGCAAGTACAACCCAGTTAGGGTTTGCTATATGTATCCCAACTGCAGCTAGTGAAACCCCTCCTTTGCTCATTTCTCTCTTGCCTAGCTAGGGTTTACCTAGCTATGGCTCCTACTTGTGCCTACTATTCTAAAAGTGTGGTATCCTTGAGATCCACCCTGAGCTTTGTTTTATTTGTTCTCCTGCTTGACTGGTCTGGTGACCACTGTTAGGTTTGGCTATCCCCCCTACTTCACCTATGGGGGTGTGTCAAATTATATGCTTCTGATTATTTCTCTCTAGGTTGTGTAGGGGTGATTCCTTAGAGGGTACAACAATACAAACTCTCTCGATTGTCTTGTACCCCCTCCCCTTACCTAATCGACATTCCTTCCTCTCTAGTTCCAACAAAAATTTGGTTCAGTGAGATTTCAGGCGTAAAAGCCTGTTTGTAGAATGGTTCTTGTGTAAGAAAGGTGGCGGTAACTAGTTTCGACGTAATCGCCTTCGTCAGACCACAAGAAAGAAATGAGCCTCCCGAGGTTTATAAACACCCCAGGCTGACTCGGCTACCCTACAGTAACCTGAATCAGGCTCAAAAAAGAAATTCTACAGTAAAACTATCTTCAGCACTTACGAGCAGAAACTAAAAAGCTTCCAACTCTCTTAGACAATTTCCATGCCAAGATCGCCCTCCGTCCTGTAAAAATGTCGCGTGACATTATATCCAGGTGACTTTTGAGTCGACTCAAAATGGTCCCCACGCGCGAACGGTCAACCAACGGATTGAGCTTGCATTTCAACACAAAAGGGCCGCGATGAAGTAGCGCGAAGAAGTTTAGAGCGCTCCGAAAAGGAAACACCCTTAAAGATGGGAAGAAGGAACCGTTCAGGGTAACCCCGAACCCGCAGTCTTGCAAAGAAAAGAGCACGAGACTTAAAAAAGTCTTCACGTGAAGAAGACCTCAGGAGAAATCTTCTCAGTTCACTCTGGATGAAGCTAACTTTGGTGCTTCTCCGATGGTAAGAGTTCATGGGCTTCTGGTACAGTTTAACGTCCAGGGTACCACACTCTTGAAACCGTTTCCCTGTAAAGAAAGTGACGTCCAGAAAATCGATGGACGTTTCTGAAATGTTCCAGGTGAGTTTGATGGAAGGATGCAGCTGGTCAAATTTCTCCTTGAAACTCATGAACCCCTCCCGCGGGCCCTCCCAGAGGATAAGCCCATCGTCAATAAAACGCAGATGCAGGGAAGGAAGCTTAGGAATTGACGCATGCAGCTGCTTGTCCAAGAAGCTCATGAACAACACCGCAAAACACACGGCTACTGAAGTACCCAGGGCGGTGTCGTAGATCTGAAGGAAAAAACGGTTGTCGAAAGTGACAAAGCCGTTGAACATAACCCACTTCAAAAGACGAATTATCAGTGGAGCCAAAGGATGCCGTTCCCTTCTTAGAAAATAATCGACTGCATCGATTCCATCCATTAGAGGGATTGACGGGTATAAGGACTCCACGTCATAAGAAGCGAGTAAGAGGTTCCGCTGGAAGCGTCTCCCTTCAAGTGCCTGCACTAGACTCTGAGAATCTTTAGTGTAAGTCTGCTGCGCCGTCACAAGAGGTCTTAAGACAGCGTCAAGCCAGCGTGAAACGTTAGAGGTGACCCAGGAATGCGACGCCGCGATGGGCCGTCCTGCTGGAACCTTTCTTATGCACTTTTAGAAGAATATAGAAAGCCGGAACCTTCCATCCCCCCTTCGGCGCTTTAAAGAATGAGTTCCAAATCCAGGTACTAAGCAGCGGCTTATAATCTGTATGGATCTGCTGGAGCTCGTCAACGATATGTTGGACTAGGACTGAGGAATATTCCCGGTAGACTGCCGGGTTAAGTAGATGCTTAAAACAGTGTTCTTTGTAGAAGTCTCGATCCATAACCGTAAGTCTCAGGTTCTTATCTGCTGGTTTAAAAACCAGGTTAGGATCTCGAGCAAGTCGATTAAGAATAGGCGTGTAGTCCTTATGTCTCCGGTGCAGCAGTGCGAAGTTCTGATTGCCGATGCTTTCCAACACCGAGTGTTTAAAGACTGTTAAAGCCGTTTCAACCTCGGGTGAAGCTTCTGGCGGTGTCCAGTTATCTCGTTTTGGTAACTTGTAACCGGGGTACTCCGACTGAAATTCAGCACCATTAAAGAGATACATCGTCCTGACACTCCTTATGAAACCGTCGACTTCTGACTCTACACTAGACATGCTACGGAAAGCTGGGACTGGAATGAAATTGAGACCTTGACCAAGAAGACTCAGTTCGTTGTGAGTAAACACACGGTTGCTGAAGTTATGAATACCCTTGTTGCTGATCCGATTCCGCAGCTGAAACTCCGTCTTTCGACCAAAGATAATCAGCGCGTACTGGTGCACGTCAGCAGCTAGCGTTTCTTGGTTTTTCCGGGGCCGGATCCTCCGTTTTTTGGAGTATTCGGTTTCTGCTTCTTGCTTCCAGGATGACGATCGGCGTTGCGGTTGATGTTCTTAGAGAAAGCACGACCCATTGTCTTAGCAGCTATGTCTGAAGTACTATCATGAGTCTTCTTCTGCTGCTGCTGCTGCTGCTGTTGGCAGAAGTCTGCTTCTTCTTGGAATGGTTCCTGGACATCGCAGCTGGTTTGATAGTCTTAATCGAAAAAGATTTCTTTACATTGTTGTTCTTATCCGAGCGGGTAGAAGTCTTAGGACGAGGCGTCGAAGTAGATCGCTTCAAGTTGGAGCTGAGTCGCTTAACCGCTTTCTCAGCTTCCTGCTTCGCGATCTCTCGAACTGCTGGTTCAACAGGCAGGTTCTCTGCTTCCGTCACTACAGCAGCTCTCTTGTCGTCATCTTCCTTCTTCTTCTCCTTAAGGTGAGTTTCGGCGACAGCAGCTTCGAGGAAAATTGGGACATTGACTCGGTAAAATCCTTGATGATCCGGTCCTTGAAGAAATTCAGCTTGTCGGTAAGCTTGGAGTTCTTGACACCGAGATCAGAATTCTTCGTCAAATTAATAAAGTTGGCCAGCTGACTCTGGAGCTTCGGGTAGACACCGTAAGCATCATTAAGAGCACGGTCGGCTGCCTTCTTCTTCATATTAATCATGACGAGTTGAGCTTGCTGACAGTATGCCGTACAGGCTTCCATCAGGTCCTTATCAGCTTCCTGCTTCACTTCTTCATTGTTACAGACGAAAGCAAACGGTTTAATGCGGATGCTGTGCGGAATGATCCCGCTCTTCTTCTGGTCAACCATAAACTGGTATTGCTGCATCAGCGTACGATACTTCAGAAAATGCTTATTGAAGTCGTTAATAGCCTGAATCTTGAAAGAGTTAAGGCAAGACGGTGTCGTTTGCTTTTCCAAAAAGGAATCAGATACTTCTCCCAGGAAATCGAAAGAGTCCGTCATTTCAATGTCATCATCCAAAGTCACTGTCACATCAGCTTCAGGAGCCATTGCAGCAGCAAAACCTCCTTCAACAGGGTTAGGAGCTTCAACACGCTTCGTAACCGGTTGACGAGAAGCCATCGGGTCAACTTGGGGTAAAGTAGCAGGAGAGTCTGCGATCTGGCAGAGCCGCTTCTTGCTAGGCTGAACTGGAGAGGATTCAATGGGATCCTCTGGTTCTGAAATGAGGAGTTGATGATGTTCCTTGACGAACGACTGCCTTTTTGTAGACTGTCGAGTCGCCTTGGAATTAGTTTCCTTGGGAAGAGTTCTCTTTATTGTTGTTGTGAACTTTGCTTTGATTTCGAAACCGGCCTTCGTAGTGTTTGGTGTCGTCAGACCCAAGGAGCACCACTTTGTGGTGGGAGACATTACGAGGCAGCGGTTCGTTTAGTGCAAATTTTGGTTCAGTGAGATTTCAGGCGTAAAAGCCTGTTTGTAGAATGGTTCTTGTGTAAGAAAGGTGGCGGTAACTAGTTTCGACGTAATCGCCTTCGTCCGACCACAAGAAAGAAATGAGCCTCCCGAGGTTTATAAACACCCCAGGCTGACTCGGCTACCCTACAGTAACCTGAATCATGCTCAAAAAAGAAATTCTACAGTAAAACTAACTTCAGCACTTACGAGCAGAAACTAAAAAGCTTCCAACTCTCTTAGGCAATTTCCATGCCAAGATCGCCCTCCGTCCTGTAAAAATGTCGCGTGACATTATATCCAGGTGACTTAAAAAAACTCTCATCTGCCTCCTGCTGCTCTGTAAGCACCGCTGCTGCGCTTTTTCAGTTGAGTCACCTAAAGACACAAAAGTCATCTGAGTGGGTTGCTGCTGGGTTCGATTCGCATCAACACTGTCACTTACGCTGCTGCTTACAGTTCGACTCGCATCAACGAGAGCATTCGTCGGATAACAGAGCAGAGGCCGCAGATCCGTCGGATCAATAACGAACATTCCTTCCCCACTTCTCGGCGCCTCAAATCGTGCTCTCTGTCTTCCCCCCTGTTGACTTTTGAGTCGATTCAAAGTGTCCGCCGAGCATTCGTCAAACCTAAACGGGTCAATAAGGAGCATTCCTTCCCCACGTCCCGCCTCACATTGTGCTGCTCTCTCTCTTCCCCCCTGCCTGCAGGTGCGACGGTCTGCACTGCCTAGCGTCGACCACTTCATTTCTCGACGCGCTCCTCGCTCACCAAGGCGGCTCTTCTGCCGCTTCTGCCGCTTCTACTGCTCAGGCCATGCCCCTGGTTTATAAGGGAAAGAGATACGGTAAGTGCGTTAGGATTAACCCAAGCGTTGCCAGCAGTGATCGCTTCTAAATAAGCCGGGCCGCCCACCGTTGGCTGTATGATTCGTTTGTGCGCATAGAGACTTTGCAGGTCGTAATGATACCAAGAGAATGTTTCAAGCTTCATAAGAACTGAACAGCTTGTTAATGAATGATGTTTGCTGCAGCCATTTTGTGTACTGCACTTAAAGTGTGTGCTGCTAAGCATTTCCCCTCCATCCCTACTCGTTGCGTTCCCTCTCTCCCGTTTACAGGGAAATACAAGGCCAAGCTGCGTCCAACCAAGCTCAACGGGAAGGTAGTCGGTGACGCAGGAGCTTCGGGGACAATTTCAATCAAGGCAGTGAAGTACGGCCCTGCCCCCTCGTTCACTTGTCCCCTCGTTCACTTGTCCTCTCGTTCACTTGTCCCCTCGTTCACTTGTCCCCTCGTTCACTTGTCCCCTCGTTCACTTGTCCCCTCGTTCACTTGTCCCCTCGTTCACTTGTCCCCTCGTTCACTTGTCCCCTCGTTCACTTGTCCCCTCGTTCACTTGTCGCCTCGTTCACTTTCTCCCCTACGTTGCTTGTTCCATTGGCTCTGACAGAGTCCTGCAGAGTCACGCTGACTTTGAGAGGGGAGCTTTTGAGTCATATCAAAACACCTTTGCGACCTGAGCTAGTCCTGCAGGGTCGCAATCCCTTTTAAGAATCGTGAGAGAGGCACTTATTCCACTGTTGGCGCTAACACGCATCCCGTAAAGTCACATGGTCCTGTCAAGTCACATGGTTCTATAAAGTCACAAGGTCCTGTAAAGTCACATGGTCCTTTGCAAGTTTTGCGAGTCTGGGGCCCATGTTTTGGAGACGTCCGCACAACCACCAGCCAACCACTGTTCGCTCGTCCTCGTCTTCAGGTGTTTGCACTAACGCTACCAGTACACAGGCAGTGCTGTACTCTCTATAATCATTACCGGTATCTCTGCTTGCCCTGTTGACAGGTACTCTTCAACGTCATACAGCTTGAGCATTAAGTTTCTTGTGTTGAACCTCAAGGCAGGAGAGCAACCCACCTTTGACTCTGTAGCTTCCTGCTCTCAAGGATCCACCTCCTCAAGATTCACCTTTACCAACATTACGCGACCCAACTCGCGCCGCAAGCGCTACAGCTTCCGAGCTCGTGTTGACCAGGCGGTGACCTCAGAGACTAATATGCATGGGGCTATTGCCCAATTGGTGTCATTACACCTGGCTATCGGACGCGCAGGGAACAACTTTGCACTCTGTGGAAAGGCGGTTAAGGTGAAATAGGAAGCGTTTTGGGGATGCGTGCAGTGGTACCGCATGTGTGACTAATGAAGAGTAATGGTATTATCTGTTACAACACGTCAATGATGGATCTTCTTGTCAAATGTTGTAGCCTATAGTGAGGTTTGTCTTAGGGGGTACAAAACTTAGGGTTAGCTATATGTACCCCAACCAACATCAATGGATCATTCATTCCTCATTCTGACATGGTATCAGTTAGGTTAGGATCCTGTGGGATCCCGTTTCTCCGTTCTCCGATCGTACCACCCGAGCCTGATCCTAGCTCTCGTTTCGCCCGTCTTGCCCGAGCCTAGTGCCGGCCCGATCTAGTCCCGTTCGTTCGTTACCGCTCGTTCTTCCTCCCGATCTAGCGTAGCCCGATCTAGCGTACCGCTGCCGGTCGCGCTGCGCTTTCCCCCCCTGATCCCCGTCGAGGCGCGCTTCCCCCCCGCTGCCGTCGAACCGCGCTTCCCCCCCCCCCCCCCCCCCCCCGCTGCCCGTCGAACCGCGCTTCCCCCCGCTGCCCGTCGACCCGCGCTTCCCCCCGCTGCCCGTCGACCCGCGCTTCCCCCCGCTGCCCGTCGACCCGCGCTTCCCCCCGCTGCCCGTCGACCCGCGCTTCCCCCCGCTGCCCGTCGACCCGCGCTTCCCCCCGCTGCCCGTCGACCCGCGCTTCCCCCCGCTGCCCGTCGACCCGCGCTTCCCCCCGCTGCCCGTCGACCCGCGCTTCCCCCCGCTGCCCGTCGACCCGCGCTTCCCCCGCCGCCCGTCGACCCGCGCTTCCCCCCGCTGCCCGTCGACCCGCGCTTCCCCCCGCTGCCTGTCGACCCGCGTTTCCCCCTGCTGCCCGTCGATCCGTCGCCCTGGCCCGCGCCCCAGCCCGTCTCCCCAGCTCGCGCCCTAGCCCGTCGCCCAGGCCCGGCGCCTTTGCCCTACCCGCGCGCCCGCCACACCTGACCTACCCGCCCGCTCTTGCCCGCTCTTCCTGCCCGTTCTCCCTTGCCGCTGCGCCCTGCTTTCCCTGCCAATTCCGTTTGCACACTATGGCGACCCCTCGCGTCCTTCGTTTCGATGCTGACGGTCGCCCGCTCGATTTCCCAGTCTGGCTTCTTCGCGCTCGCCGCCTGTTAGAGAGTCAGGTCCAGGCAGGCGAGACCCTCTGGGCGCACGCTACTGGTGCCCTACCTGCGCCCCCCGACCCTACGCCTTTAGGACCTGCCCCTGACGACGCCGCTAGAGCCCGCTTTGCCACTCAGCGAGCTGACCAGACGGCTTGGACGTCACGTGACGCTGCGGCCTGCATCGCGCTCAGCAGCCTCCTCCCTGAGTCTGAGGAGGTTCACTTCACTCAGGTTCGCACCGCTGCTGCGTACCTCACTGCGATTAAGGCCCGCTACTCTACTCCCGCTGCTGTCTCTCTTGGTCGCCTGTTCCTCCCGTTCCTGTTTCCTGACCTAGCGTCTTTTGAGCGCTCTGCTGACTTGATCGCTCACCTCCGCTCGCTCGACGCTAGTTACCGCGCTGCTTGCACTGAGGCACAGCTTGCACTGCTTCCTCCCCCTATGGCGATTACTATCTATTTCATCGCCACTAGCCTCCCTGACCGCCTTGCCTCCGTTCGCGACGCGCTTCTGCTGAAGCACCCTAGTGAGCTCACCGTCGAGGTCCTTGAGTCTGCACTCAAGGACGTCGAGAGCAACCTTCGCTCGGTAGCCGCTGCCTCTGGTGCTGTGCCCCCCCCACTCTTCCACGGGTGCACAGTCCCGCAGTTACCCACCTTTACTGCCTCACTTGCCACTGCCGCTACTGACGCGACTGCAGCTGCTGTTACGACTGCGTCGCGGTCCCGCGGTAGGAGTGGCAAGAAAGGCGGTTCTGGTGGTGGTAGTGGAGGTGGAGGCGGAGGTAGTGGAGGTGGCGTTGCGCCTGGCGGCGGTGGAGGTTCAGGGCCTGGAGAGGCGCCTCGTGCAGTGACTGGTGACTCCACTGCGCCTGCTGGTGGTGGCGACGCCCGAGTTCGTCAGTCGCCTCCTGTACTTCCTGCCCCGGTTGGTGGAGCAGCGGCGTGGTACCAGGCTCAGCGTCAGCAGCAGCTTCTGCAGCACCAGCAGCCCCTCTCCTCCCAGCAGCCTCAGCAGCAGCAGCGGCAGCAGCTGGCTCCAGGGTCGGGGCTGCGTCAGACCCAGCGCGGTGCTGCTTACACTCCCTGCACCTACCAGGTTCTGACAGGCCCTCGTCGTGGCCACCCTTGTGGCCGGTTTCACCCCCCTGGTCAGTGCTTTGCTCAGCTCACTGACACGGTTCGTTTGGTCTACGGGGTTGGTGCTCCTGCCCCTGACTGGCTGCCTCTTGTTCAGCGCTACGGCTCCGCTCTGTGGGGCATGTCTGCTGAGCAGTTAGTTGATCTGATTGGTACTCCCCATGCTATGTATGCTGTTGTTGACTCTAGTGTTTCTGACTCTGCTTACTCTGGTGTTGTTAGCTTAGGTGCTAGCCTTGCTCAGTTGCCTGTTGCTAGTGTAGGTTCTTGTGTAGACTCTAGTCCAGCGGCTACCTCAGAGGACGGTTCGCTGTCGTTCACGCTGGACTCTGGAGCTTCTCACTGCTTCTTTCGTGACAGCACGACACTTACGCCTCTTCCTGCGCCTGTTTCTGTGGCGCTGGCTGATCCCACTTCGGGACCAGTCACCGCGCGTCACACTACCACCTTGCCGTGTCCGGCTGCTCCTTCTGGGTCTCTCACTGGGTTTCACGTCCCCTCGTTCTCCCGGAACTTGGTGGGCGTGCGACCCCTCGTGAGTCAGCACGTGGGTGTGTGGTTTGAGCCTTCTGGAGAGACTGCGGTGTGTGTTGACGGGGACTCTTACCAGCCCCTCGCCACTTTTGCTGCTGAGCCGGGCTCCGGTCTCTACACTCTTCACACTGGCCCGCGCGCTCAGCAGCGACTGCAGCAGCAGCAGCAGCCGCAGCAGCAGCAGCAGCAGCCGCAGCAGCAGCAGCAGCAGCAGCCGCAGCAGCAGCAGCGGCGGCAGCCGCAGCCGCAGCCACAGCCGCCCCTCCTGCCCCCGGCCCCTGTTTTGCCTCCCGTTCGAGTCCTCGCGTCTCACCAGGTTGCTCCGTCCCCCCAGGTAGCTGTGTCTTGTCAGGTTCCTCCGTCTAGTCCGGTCGCTGCGTCGTGCTCCTGTCGGTCGCTTGCCCACCCCACCGTTTTGTGGCACCACCGGCTGGGACACCCTTCTCTTCCACGTCTGCGTGCTATGTCTAGTCAGCGTCTGGTCTTAGGTCTCCCGCGTGTCTTGCCGTCGCTGCCGCCGTCTCTTGCACCACCGTGCGGTCCTTGCATCGAGGGTCGGCTGCGCGCCACCCCTCACTCCTCCTCCCTTCGTCCGGCCACCGAGCCTTTTGAGACGCTGCACTTGGACGTCTGGGGCCCCTCTCCTCGCCCTGGCCCTGAGCGTGAGCGTTTCTTTTTGGTGGTCGTTGACGACTACTCCCGCTACACCACAGTGTTCCCCCTGGCGAGGAAGTCTGAGGTGACTTCTACGCTGATCAGGTGGTTGCTTACCACCCAGGACACTCGTGGTCGTCGTGTCAGCTGTCTCCACTCCGACCGCGGGGGCGAGTTTCGCTCCGGCATTCTCGCTGGATTCTGTCGCGAACAGGGCATTCGTCAGTCCTGGACGCTTCCGGAGTCCCCACAGCAGAATGGGGTTGCTGAGCGTCGCATAGGCCTGGTCATGGAGATTGCCCGCACCTCCTTGACTCACGCCCGTGCCCCCCATTTCCTGTGGCCATACGCAGTCAGGTACGCCGCGCACCAGCTGAACCTCTGGCCACGCGTCTCTCGGCCGGAGGCTTCACCGACCAGTCTTTGGACAGGGTCCCCTGGTGTCGCGTCGAGGTTTCGTGTCTGGGGGTGCTTGGCTCTTGTCCGCGACACCTCCGCGGACAAGCTCTCGCCTCGCGCCGTTCCTTGTGTCTTCCTTGGTTTCCCTGAGGACTCCTCTGACTTCACCTTTTACCACCCTCCCTCTCACCGGTTCTTTGACTCCCGTGACGTCCGTTTCGAGGAGTCCACCCCCTACTACGTCAGGTACCCCAGTCGAGGTCTCCCGGTCCCTCCCCCCCCTCTCTTCCTGACCGCCGCTCCCCCGCCTGCTCCCCCGGTACAGCCTCCCCCCCCTGGTCCAGCCCCGTCTGGTGTGTCTCAGGCTAGCCCTCCCCCTTCGGTAGCCCCCCCTGTACAGCCTCCCTCCCCACAGTCTTCCTCGCCGCCTCCTGCAGGTGCTCCCTCTCGAGAGGTTGGTCCTGCGACTGTCCCTGTACAGGTCTCTGGTTCTGGGGGTGCTGGAGTTGGAGCTGAGCCGCGGGTTGCAGAGGACTCTTGTCTTCCGGGGGCTGGTACTGGTCGTGCGGAGTCTGGGGGTGCTGGTGCGGAGTCTGGGGGTGCTGCGTCTGGGGGTGAGGGTGTCCCTTCGGTTTCTGGAGAGCCTGGGTCTGGAGCTGGTGTTGGTGCTGCCTCTGGGGGTGGTGTGCTTGGTGCTTCGGAGGTCGACTCTGGGGCTGCCGCTGCCCCGGACACTACTCCTTCCCCCCACCCCTACCCGACCAGGTTCCAGGCTCGTGTTCGCCGTGCTCGTGAGGAGCAGCTGGAGTTGGAGAGAGAGGAGAGAGAGTTGCAGCGGCTCGAGGAGCAGGAGCGACAGCAGCAGGAGCAGCAGCAGGAGCAGCAGCAGAGGCAGCAGCCGCTGGAGCAGCAGCAGCCGCAGCAGCCGCAGCAGCAGCTGCTGCCGTCTCCTCCTCCTGTCTCGGGTCTTCGGACCCTTGGTCTCCCGTCTCCCTCTCCTTCCTCCTCCCCCTCTCCTCCCATCTCTGGTCCTCCGCTTCCTCCTCCTGACCCCTCTCCCGCTGTTTTCCCTCGTTCTCAGTCTTCGTTGTCTCCTCCTCCTTCTCAGACTTGGGCCTCTCGTCGCTCCCCTCGTGCTCGTCCCTCGTCTCCTGTTCCCTTCACTGACCTTCGTACAGCCTTCCTTTGTTCTCGTCCACCTCGTCCGTCTCCGTCTGTGCTTCCGTCTCCTCCTGAGTCGGCCCTCACTGTGTCGCTTCCTTCTCCTGTCACTGACTACTACCGCACGTACCGTCCTGTTCTCTCTCGTGTTCTCGCCTCTCTTGTTACCCACCCTCGTGCCTCTGTGTCCTCTGTGTCCGCTCTTACTGCCGCAGTCACTGAGTTTGCCTCTACCCGCCGCCTTGACTTCGCCACCGCTCTTGTGGCTGCTCCTCCTTCCAGTCCTCTGGCCGTCGGAGGTGTGTCTGCCCTTGGCAGTGACGCCCTAGAGGACAGGCAGTTTGAGCTAGAGTTCCTGGCGGCCGCTTCCCCTCATCTCTGTGCCATGCTCCTCGCCCCTGAGGGTGACCCCGACGCCCTTGACATTCCGACTCCTCGCACTTACGCTGAGGCAGTGTCAGGGCCTTGGGCCTCTCAGTGGAGAGCTGCCATGGACGCAGAGATGGCCTCCTACAGATCCACAGGCACCTACGTCGATGAGGTTCCCCCTCCGGGGGCGAACGTAGTCGACGGCATGTGGATCTACAGGGTGAAGCGGCCACCGGGATCTCCTCCGGTCTTCAAGGCGCGCTACGTGGCTAGAGGTTTCAGTCAGCGCGAGGGAGTTGACTTCTTTCAGACCTTCGCGCCCACCCCGAAGATGACCACTCTTCGGGTGTTACTACACGTAGCAGCACAGAGAGACTACGAGTTACACTCTCTCGACTTCTCTACTGCTTTCCTTCAGGGCAGTCTTCACGAGGAGGTCTGGTTGCATCGTCCCTCTGCCTTCACTGGCTCTTTCCCTCCTGGGACCCAGTGGAGGCTGAGGCGACCGGTTTACGGTCTTCGTCAGGCTCCTCGTGAGTGGCACGACACCCTGCGTTCTACCCTGTCTGACCTTGGGTTCCAGCCGTCTTCTGCTGACCCGTCGCTGTTCGTTCGTCGTGGCCCCACACCTTTCTTTGTTCTGGTCTACGTTGACGACCTTGTTTTCGCCACCCCTGACAGGGTTGCTTTGGCACACGTGAAGTCCGAACTGCAGAAGAGACATACCTGCACTGACCTAGGTGAGCTGCGCCACTACCTTGGCCTGCAGATCACCAGGGACAGAGCTGCTCGCACCATTACACTTTCACAGTCGCACATGGTGCAGCAGGTCCTTCAGCGGTTCGGGCTTCAGCACTCCACAGTACAGCGCACACCTCTTGCTGTTGACCACAGACTCACTGGACCCTTTCCTGACGAGCCGTTCGAGCCTAGTGGTCCCTACGCTGAGCTTGTGGGTTGCCTCATGTACCTGATGACTTGTACTCGCCCGGACCTCGCCTTCCCTCTCAGCGTTCTTGCGCGCTTTGTTGCGCCAGGGAGACACCGTCCTGTTCACTGGACAGCAGCTGTGAGGGTGGCGAAGTACCTAGCGACGACGTCAGGCGTGGGGCTAGTTCTTGGAGGGCAGCAGTCTGTCGTACTTACTGGTCACTGTGACTCCTCTTACGCTGACGACGCTGAGACTCACAGGTCTACTCAGGGGTACTGTTTCAGCCTGGGTTCTGGAGCTGTTTCCTGGCGGTCCACGCGCTCCTCTTCGGTCTCGACCTCTACAGCTGAGGCTGAGATCTACGCTGGTGCCATGGCGGCACAGGAGCTGCGTTGGTTGACCTTCTTGCTCACCGACCTTGGTGAGCGGCCGAGCTCTGCACCGACCTTGTTCACTGACAACAAGGCGTCTATTCTCCTTTGTCGAGAGCCACGACTGGAGAGCAGAGTGAAGCACATTCACGTCAGGTACTTTCTTCTGCGAGAGTTGCAGAGGCGTGGACAGGCTCGCTTTGAGTTTGTGGAGTCTGAGGCCAACACTGCAGACATCTTCACCAAGGCGCTTCCGCCTTGTGACCACCAGAGGTGCTGTGTGCAGTTAGGCCTTGTTGACACTGGTTCTCGTGTTGCTTAGACTTGAGTGTACTGTTTACTTTGCTTTCTATATACCTCTGTTACTTCTTGGACTGGCCTTGTGGCCACTGTTGTTTGTGCTCAGACTGTGTGGTGACGTTGTGATCCACCCTGAGCTTTGTTTCTTGGACTGGTCTTGTGACCGTACTCGTTTGGTTCTGCTAGACACCCCTCACTTAGGCTATGGGGGTGTGTCAAATGTTGTAGCCTATAGTGAGGTTTGTCTTAGGGGGTACAAAACTTAGGGTTAGCTATATGTACCCCAACCAACATCAATGGATCATTCATTCCTCATTCTGACACTTCTCTAGCACAGCCCCTCATCTCCCTGCTTGGGAACTTGCTCAGACGGTGCGGTATGCCATAATACCAAACCCCAGCGTTACACAGTTGCACGTCAACACAGTTCCTTAAATTTACCTGCCTTTGATCACCACAACCTTTCATCTACTTGCGTAGCAACTTCAGCACATGACCGTGTGAAACAGTCACTGGCCTTGCTGCTCAGGTGTCGAAAGCCAGTAAACCCCCCATCACACAGAAACCCCATTCTGTCCCACAGGATGGTTCACAGATCACAGCAGCTACGGTACCATACCATCCCTGACGCATGCCAGTTCCACTGCGGATAATATTTGGTACTTTGAGATCTCCATCCAATTATTATCGTATTCTTATGCGGTATTGAAGTATTGTTCTTTTTCTTCTATCAACCAAGAAAAGTGTGCATCGCTTTATTCTTCCATTGTATGCCTTAGAAAACTTGTACTTAGTAATGAGTCATGAACTTTGTTTGGACTACAACGGTATAATTCTTTTATGTAGGTTTGGCTTCATCGTGTATGCAAACTTCAATACAAGTTTCTGTCCGCACATCCTTCCCAACGCGAATGTAAAGGACTGCAAAAGGGTATGTAATCTCGCCACTGCCCATTCAATTCGCGGAAACAGCGCGGCGAGATTAAATTCCTCGAAGTAGCGCAGCCTTATAACACTTGTCCGTTTTAGTAGCGGCGCGTGTTCTGTGGTTTGCCCACGACGAGGAACAGCGATTCGAGATGCGCGCTGACGAAAGTCGCTGCGGGACCGGTACTGTACGTTTGCGGAAGAACGTCGTCGTGCGGGTGGCAAAATTTATGTCTCCGCGCTGCCGCCGTACTACTTACTGTTCAGTATGTGACTCTGCGATAGGTCATGGTTGCATGAGTTGACATTTGACCAACGCGGAAGTCAACTCGTGCACGATGCATCCTGCTCGAAGGCGGTCACGTGTAGATTTTAAACGCCTTGTTCTCAGTGGATTTTCTAAGTCAACTCAAAAATAGACTCGAAAGTCAATTCGTGAATGATGCATCCGCTCGAAGGCGCTTAAGTATGGATTTTAACCGCCTTGTCTTCAGTGGCGTCCGATTGTTTAGGTGTCGCTCTCTGAGCGGGTTGGTTGACAATCGGATCCCAAATGCCCTTCCGCGTTCCTCTGATGCACTGCCGGCTCTCAATGGTTTGACTTTCACAGGCAGTGTGAAACATTCGCGAATCATATAAAGGTAAGTAGTCATGGCAAACCGAATCAGTGTCTCATTTCGTTTAATGCTCTTGCCGATTACCAAGCGGAGTGGTACTATTGCTGGGGAACGTCGTCACGTCCTGCTTTTTGCAAAAGCTAGGGTTCGCTGCCAGTGAACCTACTGGCAGTGCCATACTTCGCCGGTATTCCCGAGAGCCAAGCCAAGCCGAGGAAGCATCTAACTTGAAGACAGCATGGAGCGCCGCGCATCATCTCTCCTCTGCCGCCTGCTGCTCTGTAAGCCCCTCTGCTGCTCTGTAAGGCGTGCAGCTCAGCTCCCTTGGTGAGGCCTCGCAAATAGCCGCCTGCTGCTCTGTAGTTCTCAAAGGGGGCGACTCTGCCAGTCCAGAGCGGGCTGCTGCTGGTCCATTCGCATCAAAACCTCCCTCACTGCCCTCGTCTACCATTCTGGTCGGCTAACTTAGAGTCTGTAAACCTCCCTCACTGCCCTCGTCTACCATTCTGGTCGGCTAACTTAGAGTCTGTCATTTCCGCTGCCTCATGCCGCTACTTATCTGTATTCCTGCCTCATGCCTCCACTCGAGCTGCCTGCCTGCCTGCCTGCCTGCCTGCCTGCCTGCCTGCCTGCCTGCCTGCCTGCCTGCCTGCCTGCCTGCCTGCCTGCCTGCGTGCCTGCGTGCGTGCGTGCCTGCCTGCCTGCCTGCCTGCCTGCCTGCCTGCCTGCCTGCCTGCCTGCCTGCCTGCCTGCCTGCCTGCCTGCCTGCCTGCCTGCCTGCCTGCTGGCCTGCCTGCCTGCCTGCCTGCCTGCCTGCCTGCCTGCCTGCCTGCCTGCCTGCCTGCCTGCCTGCCTGCCTGCCTGCCAGCCTGCCTGCCTGCCTGCCTTCCTGCCTGCCTGCCTGCCTGCCTGCCTGCCTGCCTGCCTGCCTGCGTGCCTGCCTGCCTGCCTGCCTGTCTCCTTTGCAGGTGCGGCGCGTAGGCTACATCATTGCTCGCGTCGCTCCTCTTGAGTCGACTCAGAAGTAGCCTTCCTGTCCCATCTGTCCCCTTTGCCTCCCTGTCTCCTGTGCAGGTGCGGCGGTCTGCACGGCCTGCGGCGCGCTGGCCACGTCATTGCTGCCCCTTTCTCACCATGGCGGTTCTACTGCTTTCTCACCATCATTGCCTACTGCCGCTTCTGCCGCTTCGGCCTCTTCCACCGCTTCTGCCAGGCCCCTGGTTTGGAAGGGTACGACATTTTGTAAGTGTCTGAGCCTGCAGAAGCAACGGCCCACGTCTTTGCTTTGCTGCAGGTGAAGTGTTTGCAGCATTATTCACTTCCCCACCTAGCTGATCCGTTGCATTCCCCTGTATGCTTAAGATGGCAGCTCATGTGTTTGCTGCAGCCCATGTGTTTCCGGCAGCTGATGTGATGTGTTTGCTGCAGCTCACGTGTTTATTGCATCTGATGCATGTGCTACACCATTCGCTTCCCCTCTTTCCAATATCTTTTCATCTTCTCCATCCCTCCCGTTCCCGTTTCCAGTGAAATACACTGTCAAACTGCGCCCTACCATGCTCAAGGGGAAATTAATCGGTGATGTGGGAGCTTCGGGGAAAATCGTGTACAAGGGAGTGAGGTATGCACCTTATCCCTCCTTCACTTCTCCCCTCTGCAGCCAACATGAGTCCTGTGAGGCTACCCTGGGCCTTGTGACTTCACGCATCCTGCAGAGTTACAATCGTTTTTGAGAGCTGTGAGGGTCTTGAGAGTCGTGAGAGGCATGCAAGGGGACATTCCCTACTCTCTGGCGCTGGCTCGAGTTTGTGTGCCCGCCCGCGCTGGCTCTTGTTGACTTTAAAGTCGACTCAGAAGTGCAAGGGAACACTTCCCACCCTCTCGCGCTGACTCGAGTTTAGTGTGCCCGCCCGCCCGTGCTGGCCCTTGTGACCTTAGCGGGTCCAAACGAGTCACAATGGTGATATGTGAGGGCTGTAAGAGGGGACACTTGTTCCACTCCACTGGCACAAGCTTTGTGAGTTCACAAAGAGTTTTTGGAGTCCTGGTAATTGTGCCCCATCCCGTGTTCCTAGACTTTTTTTTTTTTTTTTTTTTGAATCTAAAGGCAGTACGGTAATCCGGAAGGAGATTCGATGTAGTGCACTGAAAGTAGGTCTTTTTTTATTGCTGTCTCTGCTTGCCCTGCCCTCTTGACAGGTACTCTGCATCGTCATACTACTTCGTGGTTAAGATTCTTATCTTGAACATACGAGGAGGCCCACCCCTCTTCGGTTTCGTGGATTCCTGTGCCACAGAAGCTCCCATGCCGAATTTCACTCTGATGAACATCACGAGTGACAGCGCTGCACGTCGCAAGCAGTACAGCTTTAGAATGCTTCTAGAGCAGCGAATGGAATCAGAGACCAGAATCCGTGACACGTTGAGGTTTGTGGTGGTGAAGGGTTCGCATGGGTTTGTGGGTTTGTGGTACTTGTTTGGGTCTTCCAAGCCTCTGATCTATGCTTGACCTGATGGCAAACACAAGATACAATTGGACCCTCAGGCACTATGAGACTCCATGTTTGATGTAGGGTATTAACTAAGTATACAATTATGTTACAGTGTTGTTGTCTTGTTTCAGTGAACTAATGATATATTCATTACTTGCTAATTCCATTCTATGCATGTTAGCACTTGAAATCCGTAAAACCGTAACTCAAGTACTCTGTTGGACTACAGCGGTATAAATCCTTTCTTGTGTAAGTGTGGCTTCATCGTGTATGCAAGCTTCACATTTCCGAGATTTAACGTTTTATTTCGCCATCCTTCCAAACGCGTACGGGATTTCACAATTTTGACGTCATCCCCATTCCCCGCTCAAGTCGCCGAGGTAACGCGGCCTTTTACAATTCGTAGAAGCGAGGAAACTGAATTCCCCGAAGCAGCACAGTCTTAGTGCACGCCCGTAATAACAGCGCGTTTGATGTGGTTCGTCAACGACTAAGAGCACCTACCTAGCGATTCGAGATGCGCGTTGTCGAAAGCTGCTGTCTTACTGGACTGTACATATGCGGAGTAACGTCGTCGTGCGGTGACAAAAATTAGGTTTCAGCGCTGCCGTACTACTGTTCAGTATCTTACTATGCGATAGATCACGGTCGCATGAGTTGATTTTCTGAGCGACGCGAAAGTCAACTCGTGCACGATGCATCCTGCTCGTAGGCGCCGACGTGTGGATCCTTACCGTCTTATCTTCAGTGGCGTCCGATTGGTTAGGTGTCACTCGCTGAGTGGTTTGGTTGACAATTGGATCCCAAACTTGCGCGCTCCTTTGGGTGCACTGGCGGCTCTCAATCAATGTTTTGAATTTCACAGGCAGTGTGACACATTCGCGAGTCCTATACAAGTTATGGCAAGCCAAATCACTGACTCGTTATATTTATTGCTCTTGCCGAAGCTGAACGCCAAGCTGACGAAGCGTTCGGCGAACGCCAAGCTGACGAAGCGGTACTTTTGCTCGGGTAACGCCGCCCTGTAACGTTTGGCGCAAAGGCTAGGGTTCGCTGCCACACTACGCGGTATTCCCAAGAGCCAAGCGACGACGAAGCATCCGAGACAGCATGGAGCGCCGCGCATCATCTCTCCTCTGCCGCCTGCTGCTCTGTAAGGCGTGCAGCTCAGCTCCCTTGGTGAGGCGCCTCTCAGATAGCCGCCTGTTGCTCTGTCGCCCTCAGAGGGAGCGGTGCTGCAAGCGGTTCCAAGCGAGCTGCTGCTGGCCCATTCGCATTCACATCTCACTCACTGCTCGTTGCGTCTACCATTCTGGTCGAGTTGCAGGGTAACTTGGAATCTGTCAGTTCCACTGCCTCATGCCACCACTCTTCACGTGTATACTCTTTGTACACTCCTGCCGCATAACTTCGATTGAGCTGCTTGCCTGCCTGTTCGCTTGCCTGCCTGCCTCTCTCATATGCAGGTGCGGCGGTCTGCACGGGCTACGGCGCGGCAGCCTCATCATCGCTCCCGCCGCTCCTCTCTCGCCAATCTGGTTCTTCTGCTGTTTCTGTCGCTTCCTCAGGTTTTGCCGCTTCCTCAGCTCCTGTTGCTTCCTCAGCTTCTGCTGCTACCACCTCTTCCGCCAGGCCCCTAGTTTGGAAGGGAAAGGCATTCTGTAAGTGTCCGTACCTACAATAGTAACGACTCACCTGTTCTTTGGATTCGACTCAGCTTTGTTGCAGCTGATGTGTATCATGATCTTGAACTGTTAGCTGCAGCTGAAGTCTCTGCTGCTTCATTCACTTCCCCTTCTTGCTGATCCTTTGCATTCCCGTGTATGCTTATGATGGCTGCTCATGTGTTTGCTGCAACTCATGTATTTGTTGCATCTGATGCGTGCGCTACACCATTCACTTCCCTTCTCTCCAATCCATTGCATACCCTTGTACAACTCAACATTCATGTCAAACGAAAATCAATTTTTACCAACCCTTTCATCTTCCCCATCTCTTTCGTTCTTGTATTTAGTGAAATACACTGTCAAACTGCGCCCTACCATGCTCAAAGGGAAATTAGTCGGTGATGCAGGAGCTTCGGGGAAAATCGTGTACAAGGGAGTGAGGTAAGCCACTGCCCGTCCCCTCCTCCACTTTTTCCCTTTGGCGCTGAAACGAGTCCGGTGGTCCCACGCTGGCCCTTGTGACCTCGTTCTATAAAGTTACAGTTTTGAGGCGCCTCAAAACTAGACTTCTTCCCCCTGCCGCTGAAACGAGTCCGGTGGTCCCACGCTGGCCCTTGTGACCTCGTTCTGTAAGGTCACAGTTTTGAGGCGCCTCAAAACTAGACTTCTTCCCCCTGCCGCTGAAACGAGTCCGGTGGTCCCACGCTGGCCCTTGTGACCTCGTTCTGTAAAGTTACAGTTTTGAGGCGCCTCAAAACTATACTTCTTCCCCCTGCCGCTGAAACAAGTCCGGTGGTCCCACGCTGGCCCTTGTGACCTCGTTCTTTAAGGTCACAGTTTTGAGGCGCCTCAAAACTAGACTTTTTCCCTCTGGCGCTGAAACGAGTCCGGTGGGCCCACGCCGGCCCTTGTGACCGCGTTCTGTAAAGTCACAATGATGATACGTGAGAGTCGAGTGACACGAGCCATGAGAGGGGAGATTTCTGAATTGACAAGAAGTTTTGGAGGCCTGGCAGTTGTTCCCCCCATCCTGTGTGTCTAGACGTTCTCATGAACAGCCTTTGTATTCTCTCCCGAATCGTGAAGCATTTGCTCTGAATGCAAGAGCAGTAGTCCTGAGGGAAATTCTTTCAAGTGCACTGAAGGTCTAGTAACACGGGAAATTCTTCTCATTGTTGTCTCCGCTTGCGCTGCTGACATGACAGATACTCTGCAGGGTCGTACAATTTGATCCAGAAGTTTCTTCTCTTGAACATACCAGGAGGCCCACCCCGCTTCGGTTTTGTCAACTACTGCTCCACAGAAACCCCCGCACCTACGTTCACCATGCTAAACATCACGAGTGACAGCGCAGCCCGCCGCAAGCGGTACAGCTTTAAGATGTTTTTAGAGCAGGCCCTGGATGTCAGAATGTTATGTTTGTTTAGTCTGCAGTGGGGTACTCTATAGTGAGTACAACCCAAACTAGGGTTTCCTATATGTATCCTACCTGCTGCTAGTGCAATCCCCTCCTTCATGTTTCTATCGTTTGCCTAACTTTCGTGACATGGTATCAGAGCAGGTCGACCCTCTTGGGTCGATCCTGTGGGTGGGTCCACCCGATGCTTCCGCTGTTGCTCTGCTTATCGCGCACCTCGGGCGCGCGACGTTTTATACCTGCCACGCGCTCGCATGGCGCGACGTTTTTAGGGTTTCTACGGTTTTCTGCTCGCCGCGCGCACGGAGCGCGCGGCGGTTTTCTTCCTGCCCTGCGCCCCGAGGCGCGCGGCGGTTTCCTGCCCCGTCCACCCGCGCGTCGCCCCTCTGTCGCCCGTCACGGAGCCCCCGCGGACCCACGCGTCGCCCCCCGTCGCCCGACGCGGCCCGCGCGACCTGCGCCAGGCCCGCGCGCGGCCCGTACGGGCTGCGCCAGGCCCGCGCGCGGCCTGTACGCGCTGCGCCAGGCCCGCGCGCGGCCCGTACGGGCTGCGCCAGGCCCGCGCGCGGCTCGGGCCGGCGGCCCGCGCGCGGTTCGTTCGACCTGCGCACGCCGTCCCCCGAGCTGCTGACCGCGCCCCACCCCTGCTGCTGCCCGCGCTCCTGTTTTAGGGTTTGGGGGTGGCGAGTGTGGGGGTGACAGGTGTGTGCGCCGTCCCCTGCTCCTCCTCCTCCTCCGTCTCCCGCTGCTGCAGCTGCCGCTGAGGGGGGTGGGTGTGTTGGAGCCGTCGGAGTGGTACTAGGGGGGTGGCGTGTGAGCAGTGCTAGAGGTACAGCAGAGGGTGTGTGAAAGGGGTGTGGGACAGCTGGAGGAAGTTGAGTGGAGGCAGTCGTCTTGTCGTCCGCAGCGCCTGAAGTCCAGAGAGCCACGACCCCCTGTGGCCTGAGTAGTCCGGGGCTCTGCGCCCGGTAGCCACAGTGTGAGCACTCCTGGTAGTCCAGAGAGCCACGACCCCCTGTGGCCTGAGTAGTCCGGGGCTCTGCGCCCGGTAGCCACAGTGTGAGCACTTCTTGGAGCACAGCGAGCCAGCTGCGCCTGTCGCCGTGTAGTCCGGGTTTAGCCTGGTAGCGTCAGTGCTGCGCACTCCTGTTGCCCGTGTGTCTGCAGCTTCAGCCGTCGCCTCCCATCTTCTCGCCCCCACAGTTTCTCCTCCTCCTCACTTGCCCTCTGTGATAGTCTCTAGCTTTGCTTATAATTGTGAACTATTGCTATGCCTGCTTGTTGTGTTGATTGTACCCCACTTTGACTATGGGGGTGTGTCAGAATGTTATGTTTGTCTAGCCTGCAGTGGGGTACTCTATAGTGAGTACAACCCAAACTAGGGTTTCCTATATGTATCCTACCTGCTGCTAGTGCAATCCCCTCCTTCATGTTTCTATCGTGACACTGGACTCAGAGGCCAATGTTCGGGACACGCTGAGGTTTATTGTAGCAGGTTCATATGTGGTGGCTGGGTATCCAGGTAACAAGCGCTCGCTCTGTGGGAAGGTTGTGAAAAAAGGGGAAATAGGAGGCGTTTGGGCGCAAATGCAGTGCTAGAGTTCCATGTGGTGCAGGGTTCTCGTTATCAGACCAATTTGGTCTGATGGTCTGAGTTTAAGACTTGTTTTTTTGTATTCATCTGCTTCCTAAGAATTTGTGTTTGTTCTCATCTGATCAGTAAGATTAGCGTTTTAGGTTCGTATGATTTTTCCAGACGTGTAGAATTCTTAATCTGAAAACACAGATATCGAGTTCGGTTTCGTCTGAAACCGACATCTTGACCCACTAGGCCATATGCCCAGTGGACCAGAGGATAGGACCACAGGTACAGCCATTTGCTGCCCTGTAACAGCACGCGCATTCATTACGCGTGTCTTATAGCAGCCCCGCCGAAAGCGGCGATGAGGTAGATACGTGTCAGAATGAAGAATGGATGGTGCATTGATGTTGGTTGGGGTACATATAGCTAACCCTAAGTTTTGTACCCCCTAAGACAAACCTCACTATAGGCTACAACATTTGACACACCCCCATAGCCTAAGTGAGGGGTGTCTAGCAGAACCAAACGAGTACGGTCACAAGACCAGTCCAAGAAACAAAGCTCAGGGTGGATCACAACGTCACCACACAGTCTGAGCACAAACAACAGTGGCCACAAGGCCAGTCCAAGAAGTAACAGAGATATATAGAAAGCAAAGTAAACAGTACACTCAAGTCTAAGCAACACGAGAACCAGTGTCAACAAGGCCTAACTGCACACAGCACCTCTGGTGGTCACAAGGCGGAAGCGCCTTGGTGAAGATGTCTGCAGTGTTGGCCTCGGACTCCACAAACTCAAAGCGAGCCTGTCCACGCCTCTGCAACTCTCGCAGAAGAAAGTACCTGACGTGAATGTGCTTCACTCTGCTCTCCAGTCGTGGCTCTCGACAAAGGAGAATAGACGCCTTGTTGTCAGTGAACAAGGTCGGTGCAGAGCTCGGCCGCTCACCAAGGTCGGTGAGCAAGAAGGTCAACCAACGCAGCTCCTGTGCCGCCATGGCACCAGCGTAGATCTCAGCCTCAGCTGTAGAGGTCGAGACCGAAGAGGAGCGCGTGGACCGCCAGGAAACAGCTCCAGAACCCAGGCTGAAACAGTACCCCTGAGTAGACCTGTGAGTCTCAGCGTCGTCAGCGTAAGAGGAGTCACAGTGACCAGTAAGTACGACAGACTGCTGCCCTCCAAGAACTAGCCCCACGCCTGACGTCGTCGCTAGGTACTTCGCCACCCTCACAGCTGCTGTCCAGTGAATAGGACGGTGTCTCCCTGGCGCAACAAAGCGCGCAAGAACGCTGAGAGGGAAGGCGAGGTCCGGGCGAGTACAAGTCATCAGGTACATGAGGCAACCCACAAGCTCAGCGTAGGGACCACTAGGCTCGAACGGCTCGTCAGGAAAGGGTCCAGTGAGTCTGTGGTCAACAGCAAGAGGTGTGCGCTGTACTGTGGAGTGCTGAAGCCCGAACCGCTGAAGGACCTGCTGCACCATGTGCGACTGTGAAAGTGTAATGGTGCGAGCAGCTCTGTCCCTGGTGATCTGCAGGCCAAGGTAGTGGCGCAGCTCACCAAGATCAGTGCAGGTGTGTCTCTTCTGCAGTTTGGACTTCACGTGTGCCAAAGCAACCCTGTCAGGGGTGGCGAAAACAAGGTCGTCAACGTAGACCAGAACAAAGAAAGGTGTGGTGCCACGACGAACGAACAGCGACGGGTCAGCAGAAGACGGCTGGAACCCAAGGTCAGACAGGGTAGAACGCAGGGTGTCGTGCCACTCACGAGGAGCCTGACGAAGACCGTAAACCGGTCGCCTCAGCCTCCACTGGGTCCCAGGAGGGAAAGAGCCAGTGAAGGCAGAGGGACGACGCAACCAGACCTCCTCGTGAAGACTGCCCTGAAGGAAAGCAGTAGAGAAGTCGAGAGAGTGTAACTCGTAGTCTCTCTGTGCTGCTACGTGTAGTAACACCCGAAGAGTGGTCATCTTCGGGGTGGGCGCGAAGGTCTGAAAGAAGTCAACTCCCTCGCGCTGACTGAAACCTCTAGCCACGTAGCGCGCCTTGAAGACCGGAGGAGATCCCGGTGGCCGCTTCACCCTGTAGATCCACATGCCGTCGACTACGTTCGCCCCCGGAGGGGGAACCTCATCGACGTAGGTGCCTGTGGATCTGTAGGAGGCCATCTCTGCGTCCATGGCAGCTCTCCACTGAGAGGCCCAAGGCCCTGACACTGCCTCAGCGTAAGTGCGAGGAGTCGGAATGTCAAGGGCGTCGGGGTCACCCTCAGGGGCGAGGAGCATGGCACAGAGATGAGGGGAAGCGGCCGCCAGGAACTCTAGCTCAAACTGCCTGTCCTCTAGGGCGTCACAGCCAAGGGCAGACACACCCCCGACGGCTAGAGGACTGGAAGGAGGAGCAGCCACAAGAGCGGTGGCGAAGTCAAGGCGGCGGGTAGAGGCAAA